CGTCGGGATTTTGTTCGAGAATGCAAGAGTGTTTAGATCTGTAGCTCTGTTTGCACTGCGCATGCCATCTACCTTATGTTGCACGACATCAGCAGTCGAGCCACGAGGCGGCCCTGAGAAACAAGGCACCCAGGGACCACGTTGTGTTGAACTGATCGGACCCGTAGCCATATGCGTGATCAAGCTTATCTGTGTTTGCTCTCTCTCTCTTGTGTCAAAAAGCTTGATTGAGGGACGCGCGAAACGCTTTTGTTTTTAATGACGTCTCAAGATATTTTGTGATTGATTGACATGTGGACTGACAAGTACCCTTCGATTAGGCGCTAGCCTCCCGTATCTCCCATCCCAACACGACCTTTTCCTTACAGTGAGGAAAGGACACATGTATGTGAGTGGGACGTACGAGAAGTCGTTGCACAAATCGGCGGGCAATATTACTTCCCTCCGGCCAACCGTTGTTCTGGGTTCGTAGAAGTCGGGTTTGTTATTATCGATGCGCACTTCCCACCTTACTCGGTATTGTTGTCATTTAACGAGTTGATCGTCATTCCCTGGACGGCAGTAAAACCCCACTGGCCGCGCCTGCATCGTTTCCACTATTACCTGCCCCGCCTGCTCCAGGGTTCGCGCCTCAGTTCCCTCATCTAGCTAATCCAGCAGGGACGATCGAATGCTTTAACTGCAAGCAGCCCGGGCATTTCGCCCGGGACTGTCCTCATCCGAAACGTAATCAGCCTCCCCCTGTTGCGGCCCCCATTGCCCTTAATCAAGGACGAGTGGCCGCTCTGATAGATACGGATCAAGGAAGAGAACTCGTGGCATATGCCACAGAGCAACCCTCCCCTTCAATGGCAACAGCATCGACATCGGGAGCTTCTTCCCCCGACGCTGCTGACGTGGTCGATCCTCTCAAGTATCTCCATCTCGCAGGCATGATCGGAGCGATCCGATCAGTCCCAGATGATCTCGAGTGGATCGATCGCGAATCCAATCCAGGACCGCAGTTTCGGACAGGAGACATTGATGTACTGAGAATGCTCAAGCAGTTAGACATCCGCGTTCCTATCCTCGTAGGGCATCTGCACACCATATCTGAAGCGGCGAACAATAAACTTTTACAACACTGCCAGAAAAATCAAAAGCGTTTCACCTATCAACGCATACAACGGATTTTGAAGAAGAAGGAAGAAGGTGAGGAAGTGGTATCCCCTGAGCCGGACACTAAAGAACCTGAAGCCGCACGCATAGCCGCCATCTCTTTAGCAGAAAAGGATCACTTCGTACGAGCTCGGCCAGTACTATGGAAAAGTGCGGAATGTGACTGTGAAGTTTGGGGTAAGTCGTTTAATGCCCTAATCGACACAAAGTCTTCTGCAGTGGCCATATCATTGGAGATTGTTAAAAAGACGGGACGACTTGGATCCATTCTTCCTCAATCTGGCAAAGACAACTATGTCTCTGCTGATGAGGAAACAATAAACATTGTAGGCATTATCAAGAATGTGGCGGTAAAGGTCGGGCGAGTACACGTCCTTGTTAACGCACTCGTAATAGATGTACGTTCCTACTCTGTGTTGTTGGGATTACCTTGGGCAATGGCGGTGGGCGCACGTCTGCATTTCGATTCGAAACAATTGGTGCTCACACAAACTGGGGGAAAGCCTCAGACTGTTCCTTTGCGGGTTTCCACCCGAACGATAAAACGGGTTCCTAACTCGCCCCAAATAGGGATGATCCGAGGCATTGATCCCGAGGAGTGCTCCCCCTCGCGCCTCGGGGATGGAATTAGGGAACAAGAATACGAAGAAGAGATGCCCAGTAAAGAGGAATGGAAGCATCTAGTTGGACTTTTCGAACATGAAACCCCCGAAGAATTTCGAGTGTGCCCCGACATCGCTCGAAGCTTCCACGTGGATTCTGAAGACAATGCATTAACGCCTCTAACAACCCATGTCAGTCCTTCAGTCCTCCTCGGGGAACCCATATTACAAGTTTCCGATCTGGCTGATGATTTGGAACCCCCTCTCACCTTGTACGGGGGAGCTCTTTCCTTAGGAACGCGTTATCAGCAAACGGAACAGTATTTGGACGTTTCTGTTTTTCCACCCCGATCATTACTAACGACAAGAGCCACCATCGCCTTGATTAAACAAGAAGCGGAAGCACCGGTAAGTGATGTGCTGAATCTAATGCAAGAAATGACGGATCTAACAGGGCTAACTGTGGAACCGACTTCGGTTGGTTCAGAGGCCGACGCTGAAACTAAAGAAACGGAGATGATCAGCCCCGTTGAGTCCCAGATGATAGCAACTGTCTTTTCTGTTCGCACCAGTAGTTCCATTTTCTCTATTGTCCATGAGCGGCGGGAACGGCCGGTTGATTGGATCGATATGCCCCTTAATATGTCCGGGGAATCGACGATCCCCCTCCCGAGTCACGTTCCCGCGGAACTTCGGAAGTCGTAAATTTGTGTATTGAATGGTTACACAGAAGTGTTGAGCATGTGTGACAATGATATTGGGTTAACTAATATAATTGAACATGCCATTCTCACGGGAGATCATCCCCCCATTAGTTGCGCTCCCTACTGATACTCGCCAGCTCAACGAGCGGCCGCCTTTCAGCGGATTAAGGAGTTCGAAGCTAATGGATGGATCGAACCCGCTATAGGACCATGGTCTTTTCCTGTAGTGATAGTACCCAAGAAGGCTGGGGGGATTCGCATTTGCATTGATTATCAAAAGCTTAATTAATATCACGATTAAAGATGTGTATCCCCTCCCTCGGATTGATGAGTTATTGGATGCAATTGGGAGTGCTCGATTTTTCAGCAAGTTTGATGTTCGTCATGGGTTCCATCATCTTCTTGTCCAAGAGGAAGATCGACCGAAAACAGCATTTGTGCTTTTCGAAGGCACGTGGCAATGGATTCGATGTCCGATGGGTATCTGCAATGCCCCTGTAACTTTTCAGCGGGCCATGAAGATGGTTTTTCAGAATTTCGTACGGAAGACTCGTTTGGCACAGAGCATCATCAACTACTGCATGATTGTGTACATGGATGACATCCTAGTGTATTCGAGTTCCTACGAGGGACACGTGCAGCACATCGAATGGGCATTGCATGCGTTACGAGATGCAGGTTTCAAGGTGGCGCTTGAGAAATGTCACTTTTTCCTCACCACCATTTCTTTCCTGGGGCACGTGGTGACAGACAAGGGACTCCAACCGGAGCCGCAGAAGGTGGCAACTGTCAGGGACGCGCCAGTGCCTACCACTATCACGCAAGTTAGCGCCTTTCTGGGCCTAGCCTCATATTACCGAAGATTTATCAAGGGTTTCGCCGCGATTGCGGGACCCCTCACAAATCTCCTGCGCAAGGATCAGTCGTTGATCTGGACGGCGGAATGCGATCAAGCGTTTTCCAAACTCAAGGCTGCTCTCATTTCGGCTTCGGTCCTTATAAGACCGGATCCCGAAAAGCCTTTTGTTTTTATCACCGATTGGCAACTAGAGGCGATTTCGGTGATCCTTGCCCAGGTGGGACCAAGCGGACTCGAGAGTGTGGTGGAGTATGCGTCCAAATCAGTACCCACCTGCAAGCGCAACTACGCCGCTCCGGCGGCTCTCTGGGGAATCAGTCACTTTCGTGCTTACCTGTATGGGCGAAAATTCACCCTGGTGACTGATCATGAGCCCCTGTTGGCTATGAAGAAGTCGAAGGATTACTCAGGCATGATTGGGCGATGGGCAACGGTGCTGCAGAGCATGGACTTTGACATCCGTCATCGGAAGCACGAGAGACATGGGAATGCGGATGGATTGACACGACTGCACCGGCCTAAGAAAGTTCCGAGGAATGAGGAGGTGATTCCGTGGAACGAACCCGAGCAGAAGATTGGACCTCGGTATGACCAAATGGAGATTTTGTCGAAGCAGTAAGTGACACGAGGACTAATTTGCCTGCTCTACTCTCTCCATAATTCAGTCCCGTCTCTCCCCTTCTGTCATCATGACTACCCCGCCTGCCTCCACAACCCCTTTTTCTCCTACTAATTCTGCCCCTCTTACTTCCTCAACTTTCTTCGACACCCTCCCCGATAAATTCTGCTATTTTTGCGCCTATATTGCACGGGTTTACGTGGTCGATTGTCTTCCCTTCGAGACCAGATTTGTCGATTGGGTGGAATGTGCCACGTGTGTCAATCGTGCGCACGGAGCCTGCGTTCGATATCGAACGAGTAGCAAGGAATGGAGGTGCCCCCTGTGTAGAACTAACAAACTCCCCACGGAGGTTCAATTCGAGGCCCCCATACGGATGGTCCTGAATACGACGAAAAATACCGACGGGTGGAAGTCTGGACGGATAAAATTTTATTGGCGAAATTAGCGGGATTATCATTGGGTCATCTCACCAAGATCTCGAGACTATCGATGGATCAACGGTCATTTGGAAAAGCGTAAAACTGACGGATCGGGTTCATGGCTGACAGTTCTCCATCCCTTCCAGAGATACGATTGGATCCGATCTGCTCACGAGGAATAGGCCGCTCATTTCACGATACGTGTCACGGAGGCAACTGTAGACCAGAATCGATGGTTTTGGTCCAATATACGAGATGATGTCAAATACATTGTCGCTAACTGTCTGGTCTGTGCCGCTGACCGCGCCCCTATACGGGGACCAAACACGATCGTGCCAACGGAAGTAGAGCGTCCTTTCCAGCGAGTCAGTATGGACACGACAGATATTGACGTGCCACCTGGCCCAAATCGCTGTGAATATTCTATCCTGTTAGTATTAATAGATCATTTTTCCAAGTATATCGAGGTCTATCCCTGTAAGACCCGAAAAGCCGCAGAAATAGCCACGTACATCGAACGGTTCCTCTATACCCATCTAGATATTGAAGAAATTCTAATCGACAATGAATCTAAATTTAAAGGTGAGGTAGAATAACTACTTGCACGAAGGGGCGTTACGCTCCGACATACGGCACCCCACATATCCCTGTCGAACGGGTTGGCCGAGAATGCCAACTGTATGATTAAAACCGCCCTTCGCAGGAACTTAGCGGCACACAACACGCGTCCGTGGCCCGAGATCGTATATCCGATCGTCGGTACCGGGCCACCCCTCACGAGTCTACGGGGTTCACCCCCTTTCAGCTTCGAACTAATAGCCTCCCCTGTGTCGATTACCGGTGTAACTCGGAAATTGCCGAAGCAGGGGGTAGAGACACGCGTGCAACCCTCAAGGCCAAGGCCAAAAGGTACACTGATTTGATGAAACGGACCGTCCCGAAGCTAGCCCGAAAAAGGGAAAGGATGACCGAGCTAGCCCACGGTAGACAGGTCCGTAGCTACGAGGCCCGGAATGGAAATGTTGGGCCCCAGTACCAGTATAAATTGGGGGACCTAGTGCAGGTATGTAAATGTGCACGCGACCGGAAACTCGCTCCCAAGTTCTCTGGCTGTTTTCGCATTGTCGAACTCGGACCCAACGACGCTAATACGGTGCGCATCGCGCCTGAGGCTAGCGCCAGCCATAGCTCCGTCCCCATCGTCAGACATACCTCCTACCTCCGTCTCCTTCCTCCTTTCGATTTTCCTCCCTCTTCTTCCTCGGAAAGCGAGGAAAACGAGGACGATCTAACCCTCTCTCCTCTTTCTCCCTCTTGTCCCTCGTCCTCCTCTCCGACCTCGCCATGAGTTTCATCACGGAGCGGGTTCTCGATGCACAGCTGCGGCAGCCACGTGGCCACATCTCAGAGATCCGGCAAGTTTGTCACCCTCGGCTCAATACGGACCTCCGCCGTTTGATGCGATTCTTCTGCGACAAAGGTATCTGTGTCGCCGCCGCGTTTCGGATAGAAGGAAGCCCTCATGCGATAGTGTTCGTGGAGGTTACTGCAGTTCATCGGCGAGCGGGTCCCAGAACGAGCCACGTCACCACAATGACGGCATTCACCGGCGACATCAGCTCGGTCAATCCGCTGCGGCATACCACGATCTTGGCCTCGCTGCGCGAGTGGACGGAGCAAGTGTCCAACGTGTGGCAGCACGTCCTCGCCCAGGAGGGGTATAACATCATCCTGATCTTTGCATCGGTCCTTGACGGCATTCGTCAATCACCGCTGGAGCGGCCAGTTGCGATCCCAACCCTCATCCCCTTCCCCCATCCCCAATGAACCACGCCAATTTTCTCACCCCTCTCTCTAGCTTTGCTCTCCCCTCTCTCTTCCCCACCTTCTGGCAATCCGATCTCCACCCTTCTCTCTCCTTCTCGTTCGAACCTCTTCGGTCCCTCTTATCAATCCTTGACATTGGCAGCTGTGGCGTGAGACTTTTGAGGAGTTGTCCTTCTGCCTGACCCGAGTACAAGTGAAGTGGACGGGCACTATCGAGCACCCCACGTGGATCGAGAATCCGGAGCTGCTGATCATACAGGGTTGGAGGACTAACGTGGAAGGAGATCTTATTGGATTCCTCTTTGGATCGATACGACAGGGTCGCCGTCAGTTGATTGCATAGGAGCTCATCGCATCGATCGTGCAATTGGCGGACGATCTCTCGCCCGACATCTACTTTCAGAGCGACAATAGTCCTGCTCCGTACATTTTCGAGCGATCCTTGGATCCGTACCTTCAGTGGACTTCGTGCTTGGAGGAACCTAGGGACGAGGATACGCTACCATCGCGGCAGGAGTATCTGAAGCCGTATGAGATCATCCCTCACGCCTTCTATCCGAGGGCAGAAGAAGTGGTGATTGACGACAACGACGACGAAGAAGAAGAAGACGACGATGAGGAGACATCGGAGGAGGGAAGCTATAGTGAACATAGCGAGGGCGAGATGAGTGAGGAGGAAGAGGAAGAAGAAGGAACCGGGTCCGAGTGGGAAGCCCCGCCGGAGGGAGCGACGTGTACGGGAATGGAGGCGGAAGATCCGGAAGCGGCGCGAAAGCTCGAAGAGATTGCCTCCGGAAAGCGCCAGCTGGAGTTCGCTAGCGAGGCCAGCCTGCGCATCGGTAGTGATCCGACCAGGGATCCAGAGCCGCCGAGGCCCGAAGATGGCGACCCTGCAACCGCCACCTCAAGTACCGCACGACGGAGACGGCTTCGATCCCCCTCCTCCTCCAGCCCCACCCGTCCCCCAGTTCCCCCACGTACCAATGCGGGCGATAGGCCTTCGACCTTGGACGCTGTGCCGCCGACCCCTTGATTTTCTCACCCTCGAGCAGATGCGTACCCCCGTCACCTTCCCTTCCCATCCTTTCCATCCCCATCTCTTCCGCGACTTCTGCTCTACCCGTCTACTCGCCACCGTCCACCCCCACGCCTCCCTTCAGTCCGCTGCTCCCACGTTCTGCTGGCATCTCCTGCTGTTCA